CCAATGAAGATAATTATTCACATTATGAACTCATTTGCATAATTTATGTAGGAAGTGACTAGAATAGCCTATTTTGTTAAGATAAGGCTGCCATTGGGTAGAGAATATGATCAACTGATGTAATCCATGCAAATGACGCTCTTATTTGCGAAATCAATTATTAAAATTGTATAATTCGTCAACCGCAAGGGTTAACATCATTTGGCGAAGGTATGAGATCGTGGAACTCTTGTTGAGTTATTCGACAGTCTGATTGCCAATATGTTCATAATTCATAGTATTGATCATATCTTATGAATTATCGTGACTTTCGAAAAAAGATCAGCTTCAGAGACATATCTTTATTACATTACTGCAATATGAAGAAGCTTCCTGATGCATTATTTTCTTGTCCACAGAACACACTGGAGTCTTGTTACTGCACTGTGATCAACTATCGCTAGTCGGCGCTTTTGATGCATCAAGCCGTCTGGGACCAAGCAATGCATTTTGGGACAGATTCCGCCATATTTGTTTTTCTTCGCCGTCTGGAAAATTGAGTTGCAAACGATTAAATTTTCTCCAATTTTTGCCTCCGTGGAAGCGTATCCGTCGGGAAGAAGCAAACGCGACCCGCTGCCCAAGTGCCATAGCGTCCCCACGTCTCACTTTGAGGAGAAGAAACGCCGGCAAAATGCTGAAAAGCGGGTTCGCCGTCCTGTCGGGTAAGAAAAGTTCCGAATCTCAGCAGACATTCCCCGCATAGTTTCTCATTAGGAGGGACGCAGGCCAGACTTAGAAGTCCATGAATTCTTACGTTTAGATCCGTAGATTATACAGCATACAATATTCAGCTGTGTATTGATTATGTTGAGTGCGTGAGTCATCTTTTCCCGGGGAAGTTTATGTCAGAAATAATCTTATAACGGTCCAGTCGGGTACCGTTAGATTTGAGACATCAGCATGAAATTTTCATAACCTAAGTACTCAGAGGACCACGCGAGGCTTTGTCATAAAATCACTTCTTTTCCTAAAATGATGATTTTCATCAAAAGATAACCACATCTTTTGATACCAACTGCCAGTAAAATGATTTTGAAACCATTGAAAAGTATATTTTATAATTAGGGAGCATTATTATGGAATATACAATAATTTTACCCTTGCATATTTTTTAGTTTTGGGAGAAGAAAGAAAGTTAAAGGCCAGGAGGTAGATCCAACAATCATGAGATATGTGCACATTGAAAATGACCCTCTTGAAAATACCCTACTTCCACCATATATATGATATATGTATACATAATTCTAGTCTGACAATTATAGGTTTTGGACAAACATGATACATAATAGTTATCAGTACATGTACAGTTGTAAGGGGCATAAAAGGATTGCGATTGGCAACGAATCAATATCAGATCCATATAATCACATCACTGTACAAAAATTAAGAACCTACCCATTTTCTGTATCCACCATTTCCTACGAGAGATGTCACATTGTGTTTGCACTGAAGCACCCTCAAGAACTAAAGAACCTGTACCTCAATTTTCTTACTGTGTTATGACTCAAGTCATAGTCATAACGCCTTATAGAGAACATGATATAAATTTGAATGGACCACATTATGCTTGAGATATCCTCTAAATTCTGCCTTCCAAAAGCCATTTTTTAAAATGACTTTTTATCTCTGATAAATATTATTAACTCCATATTATGATATATATGATTACGGAGATGTGAGTACCGGTGAGTATTTTGTTGCCTACCTTTTATCCAGCCACTAGCCCCACCCGGTACATTCCTGGCTGACGCCACCACATGTAGTGTTGATCACCACTCGCTAGCGTAGCACACGTCATTTAAACAGGTCCATTAGAATTCAGCCCGGCTGCCGTCACCATCGCTAGAAGAGTCTCCGGGCGCCGTGATGACTCATCGCGCTCCGTTACCTAATTCTAGGACAGATGGGCCCCCGTAATAAGTTGATTGGGGCGAGTTGGGGAATAATTGAATCTCAACTGGAGCAGTTCCAAATTTCCTGGTGTTTTCGCTTTGCTGGGATGCCTACGCTGAGACCAGATGTTTTGTATAACGTTGTGAGACTGTTGTATTTGTACGGTTAAGCCGTCTAATTTAGTAGTAGTCTCCCTTTGGTGATGTCGTTTCCTCACAGTCGGCCAGACTGAAGCATAAAGTGCTGATTTTTAATTCATGGCATTTGAAAAGCCTCTTTGTAAATACAGTTACATTACAACACCTCCCAGACATGTCCATGCATATTGATGACTTTTCGAGATTTGATTTGTGGAAGAATCCATGGCGTTGAACGTGGGGCTAGTTTTAGTACCATCTCCTGGGGGATAAAAGGCTGTGATGTCAGAGGGCAAAAGGACAAATTATGATTAAATTGAGGCCCAAAATGTAGAATCCCCAGGGGGGGTTGCTCTCTTGGCTGTTCCGTTTAGTGTCAGACCCATTTTGCCTGACGTCACCAACTGTACATAGTCTGACCTACTGTTGCATGGCTTACTTTTTAACTTACTGGTATATAAGGAAGAAGTCATTGTTCTGAGATCATTAGTGTACAAATTAATACATGTACATGTAGCTATTAAAGGATTGAAATCATTTGTGTTCATGCACAGGGTTGCCTCACAGTAGCAAATTGTAGATATCAAAATGATCAGAAAATGAATTATAAATGGGAAATGGTTACAGTCTGTATTAGACTTCATGGCCACACCCTCATCATTTTGTTTTCATAAATTTTGAAAAAACATTCCTATTTCAAACAAAATGTCATCATATACATGTATAAACATCTTGGGATTTTTCTTATATCCTAATAAGTGTTTTCTAGTTCTACCAACCAATTATTTTCGGATGACATCATGTATAATAAGGGTCAATATATCACAATGTATAGCCATGTCAACTCATAGACTTGAACTTGTTTGGCTGCTGTTCAATACTCAGGAATTCTTCCTATCTGACCTTGATACCTGTGACCAAGGGTTGACTAAACAACAGCCAGAAGAAGTCTGTTTTGAATTCCTGCACCATTATTCATAGAATCATACAGCTGGATGGAGGGATTTCTTATACAAGCAGGGCTGGACATAGTTTACATTCATGGATAGGAGTCATAGGACTATGAGTAGGACTGTCCTCCAAGCTTATATGTGCTACAAACTGTTGATCAAGTAAAAATAAACTGACAACATTAATGTATATACTAAACAGGCCTTGATTGCAATGTCTGAGATTCAAGGACAGTAGGAATAATGAATGATTATACATTATTACGCATGCATGGTCATAACCTCAATCACTTCCTGAAATACAATTCTTAATGTTCAAAAGTGAACTTATACATTGTATATGTACTGACTGTATATAAAATACTAGTAGTCATCTACAACAGTTATTATGGAAGGACTGAAACTTACCTTGTAATTAAGATGGATTTGAATTACAACATCCAAAAGAAAACAAAGCAGTACAGAATGCAAAAAATAAGTTAGTTTTGCAGAAGTGTTCCTCAGTCATAGTACCTCAAATGCTTCAGTGAGTTTTGGACAGAATGCCTGAAATAAGGGGAAGTGAAACATCACATTGTAGGTAGACACACATATACTTGACAACAAAGCAAAGTGATCAACAATAATACATTACTGATTGTCTCATTTTACCAGACAGCTATGTACATAATTAGTGGACTTCCTCCTTGGCCCAGCATAGAATTATTCCCTTTTCGTCATATTCTTTAATAAAAGTTCAAACCTTTCAGTGTATTATACACTGTAGTGTTTTGGCTACATGTAAGTATTTTATCCTGATTGTGTTGTTGACACTGTTGGTGTTACACAATACTCACAGTACTATGTTATACTAGAATTACAGTGTATTTCTGCTGTTTTGCAGGACTGTTACTTGTGTTTCTGGTGCCTGGTGCCTTGGGGAACACATACCCTGCACATGTGACATACCCTGCACATGTAGGGTTAAACTTCATGTATCGGCTGGACAGAGAGATCTACACAGTCATACTCAAGCCTGACAGCACTGGTAAGGTCC